TAGCTGCCCTAGCTGGACTATCTTCTGGCTCAGATTGTAGCCTTTATAGTATATCACTCATGGAATTGATGCTTACACAGTGGTCAGAAGAGATCTTTTAAAGCTACCTATAGTAATGATCAGTTCTTTCTGCCTAGAAAAATAATTTAACATAGGTATTAGTAAGATTTTGATAATGGTACCCATTGTATGTACCTATTAAGTTCAAAATAAGTCTACTGAAACTACAATCTCTTGCCTTGGGATATAACAGAACTTGTACTATTATAGCATTATAAAAGGTACTGTTGTAGATAGTAATGTCCAAATCACTTAACCCATTCGGTGAACCATCCCTTATTTTCATCCCTTATTTTTCAGGTTACAGTATTTTAGAAATCCTCCTAATAGGTTTTCAGGCTAAACACATCCTTGGTGGTTTTATTCTGCTGGAATCAGGGATTAGACATAAAGTAAACAACATGGGCTGTCTACTCTTTGGAACATCTTCGAAGAGATGGCCCTGATATGCACCACCATTTTCAATCACTTAAAAGGCAATAATTCAATTATGCCCTCCTTTATATAAGGACTGTTATTGCTTGCATTTCACTTCCAGTCCTGACACAAGTAAATCACTTCGATAAAATTTCTTTTTTCTAGCTCTTAGGACAAGAATAAGTAATGATAACAGTGACCTATCAAGGTCAAGATGAATATAATGTGCTCCTTATTTAAAAAAATAGCAGAATGTTTCACAAAGTAGTGATTCACTGTGTTAATGGGAAAATGATAATTTTGTGTGTGTATGTGAAAACTTCAAATAAGGGCACTTTTAGAGCAGTAAATAATGCATTCTGCCTTTGAAACAAAATGCTTGAAGTGAGCAGCTTACATGCACCATATGAAAGAGCGTAGCATTAGAAATACACACTCACAGTTTGGGTGCCCGAATGTTCATTCTTTTATGACTATCCAAAGAGAAAATATCTTCTAGAGAATTTGAAGGCAATTCATTCCTTCTGTGAAAATAACCACCTCATTTTTTTTGTTTATTTTAAATATCTAGTATGTCACATATTTAAATTTTAATATTATATATCATTAAATATGACATGTGGCTCAGATAAAAAGGATGTAAGCTCAAATGTGTGTTATAGTTGTCATTTCATTAAGGATTGATTGTTCACTTATTTAATAATCACTCAGGTTACCCAAAAAACCAGTCACTCTTTTATAGCATGGAGAATTAAGTAGTAAGTAACATGAATTGTGGAGGCCGCTGGGGTGCAGCATTACCAGATGGTGAGCATATCAAGATTAAAATATATGGCAGATGGCAAATGGATTAATAGAATTCATGTCATGCCAAAGTATCCTTTCTGCACTCAATATATTTACTGGTGTCAATTGGCAAATGGTAAACTATTTTCATTCCAACAAATATAACCATAGTGATTCAACAAGTATATTGAGGGGAATTTTTAGATTGCTTACTATTTTTAAAAATGGTAATATTCTCATAATACTTCATCTCATGATAGATAACATTTCATGATAGAACTACAGAGAATATTCTAGGCAAATTTTCTACTGACTTTAGCATTCAATCACTGAGAAAAAATCTTTCTGAATAAATCTTAGGATTATTCAGACAGGTAGAATAAATTGGAGGAAATATGAAAATAAATTACCTTTACCTGCTTTAGGTTTATTTATAGAGCACTGATATCTGCAGGGTCTTGCCTGTGTAACAAACACTACATTAGGCAATACAAATTCATCATGTCATTAAATCTTCATATAGCTCTTATGATGAATTTTTGCTTTATATTTTCCATAGCACTGTCTTCATCTAATATACCACATATTTTTCTTATGGTCTCATTCTCTCTTCCCTCTACCCTGATCCCTGTTAGATAAAGATTTTTGATATTTTACTTACTACCGTCTCCATAATCCCTAGAGAAGTGTCTGGCTCATAATAGGTACTCAGTAAATATTTTGTGAATGAGTGAATGGCCCTGGGAGTCATACTTCCCAATTTATGGACAAGGGAAGTTAAGACATTAATAAAATCAGAATGAGAAAATGGTTCTAGGTGGTTCACCCATAGGTCTGTTAATACATCTGTTCCATGAATAAGCTTTAAATACAAATGTTAGTTTTGTTATATATAAAATATTTAACATAAGTTCTGACACATAGAAAGCTCTTAATGTTTTTAATGTATTACTTTTTATTGAGGTAACACTGTTGTGCACACTATATGATTCTGAGGTATATATTCACATCTCTTCAGATGTATGTTACCACCCCCTACTTTATAGTCCTTACCTCTTTAATTTCCACCCCTCCTCCCTTGTAGCCTCAATTTTACAGATTTCTGGCATTGTTCTGATTTAGTTTTATCTATTCCTATGTTTTGTTTATCTATATTTCATACATAAACATATATGCACAGAATGCTGTGTCTTTCCTTCTGATTTGTTTTGCTTAACTTAATTACCTTCAACTTCATCCATGTATTTCAAATGGCAAGTGTTCATCTTTTTTATAGCTGAGTAGTATTCTAGTGTGCATCTAAATCATATCTTCATTATCATAGACTACCAAAGAGGAGAGCTCTGCAGATCTCGAGGATCTCTCTTGAATGTTCAGCTGAGATTTGACGAGCACATGGGTGTGAGGAAGGCTAGGGACAAAACAGCAAGAAATCCAATTATGTATTAGGACACAAATTGAAAGTAATGCAGTGGAAAAAACTGTATCACATTAGCATTAATCAAAAGAGTAGTATAACTGGAGTGGTTATATTACTATCACATATTTCAGACCAAAGAATGTTACCAAGGGTAAAGTATATTATTTCATACCAATAGAGGATTTTGTTGATCAAGAGAACATAGAATTCTCCATTTTTTAAATTGAGGTAATATTGATTTACCTTATTTGTGTATTGGATGTTTAGGATCAACCCCTTCAGGTGTTGTTACCATACTGGCACCCACCACCAAGAAACCCTTAGACCACTACCATGCTATACACCTATTCTAGCCAATTTCTTGTTCTGGAAACTGGAACATTCTGGAATCATTTTGTATAAACACACATCTGTAAATATATATTTTCTGTGTTTTAAAAATCACAGATGGTGATATATTTTATACACTGACCTGTACTTTATTTTTTCTACTTACGTACATTTGGAGATAATTCCTTATGGAATGGCCTCCTACTTAAAACATTTTTTTAAATGTGGTTCCATTGGCCTGGTTTTTTCCTCATCCCAATCATCTTGAAAATGGACACTACTCCTCTTGGGAGCAAAGATGTAACTTACATACTTGCAAGAATTAGTTTTTCTTTTCTTTTCTTTTTAAATATATTATATCATCCTTCATTTTTGTACAATGTATGGTTTCCCTGTTAAATTCCCACTACCATTTCACCCATGCACCATCACCATAGTCCCTTGTGTTCTTCCCACTCTTGTCCTGGTCCTTCTCCTTCCTCCTCCCCTACAGATTGTCTCAAATCTTTAGTTGCCTGATAATTTTGATTTGTATGTTATTTGAGTTACTTTTTTTTTTCTGATTCCTTTTTTTGTTTTCTCTACATTCCTCCTAAAGTGAGACCATTCGATATTTTTCTTTTTCTTTCTGGCTTATTTTTCTGACCATAATCCCTTCTAGCTCCATCCATGTTGCTGCAGAGAGCATGGGCTTGTCATTTTTGATTGCTGAGTAATATTCCATTGTGTAAATATACCACAACTTCATGGAGAGCTGTGTAGAGGTTCCTACTAAAAGTGGAACTTCCATATGATCTAGCAACTTCACTCCTAGGAATCTAGCCTAAGGACACAAAAACATTAATTCAAAAGGATACCTGAACCCCTATGTTTATAGCAGCATAATTTACAGTAGGTAAGCTATGGAAGGAACACAGATGCCCAAGAATTAGTTTTCCTTTTACACATATCTAAGGTCCTCATCTGCATGCTTTATAATATATACTCATCTGTGTGAGTATACAAGTTTACTAGTACACCAAATTCACTATGAATTTACATTTTTCCCCATACATATAGTATATGTATTTATGGAAATGTTGGTAAGTATTAAATTTTGAACTTGTTATGGCATTTTATTTGCTTTCTTTGTTCCCTCAACATGAAATTTGGTGTCTGTTTTTTTTGTCCTTCATCAAATCAATTATCTTTTCATCCTTTCTTTGTCCTTTGCTGGTAGATTCAGCATTGTTCTGTAGGTCACAGTGCTTCTCTGTGTCTACTGCATAAACTAGCCTGTTATCAACTTAACATTTTTGGCAAAGAAATTAACTGGATAAACTTACGCTGGCCTTTTTTTTTTTTTTTTTAACTTTCAAAGCAAAAAGCTCAAACTGCCCGTTATTCAAACTACCCACTGCCAAATACTCTATGAATTTATTTGATTTGTTACTAACACTTAGTGTTTTTATTATTGGTGATATTTTGAACTTTGGGCCAACATTTTGTAAGTTGTTGAATCATTACAGCTTGTAACGGTTCAGTATTCACTAGCTGGTGAAGTTGATTCACTGCATCTCCTCAGAGAAAATTCACTCACCTGTTTGTCACAGCATTTAACTCGGTTGTTAACTCATTTGTGTTGTCAAATTTCGTAGTTTCTGCTTACCTCATTGGCCCTCACTTTGTAGGATTTTAAGAGATTGCCCTTATCCTTTCCGGGTATGGTACTTATATTTATATCCTAGTGGCCATGTTTCTGACGAACCTGCAATAGGAGAGATGTACACATTTTGAAGGTCATCGTTCCCGATACAGTAGCTTTTGGCTGAGAAAATACCTGTACTGACTAGTGGTATCTTTTTACCATCCTTGTTTATTTTCTCATAATAAAGGATTTCTCCCCTCGGGTGCCGTCATCACCATTGGTGAAGTATTTTTAAAAACCCTCTTTATCTCTGAAAACTTAACTTTTGAGTTTCTTAGGATTTGTGCCTCTTTAACACAGGGAAAGCGTGGAGAGCCTGATTCAGAAGCATTCCTATGCCCGCTCGCCCATCCGGACCTACGGGGGAGAAGAAGATGTCCTGGGGGATGAGGGTCAGACAACGCAAAACAGAGGTAAGGCAGCTGTTGGGGCAAGAGCCCCAGAGAATGAACAAGGTAGGTGGGGAGGTTTCTAGTCTCCAGAGTACAGGTTACCCTAAAAGAATTTCAGGACGTTTTTCAAAAAATAACAGCCTCTGAAATTGATACTCACGCAATTTATTATTTTCAGTTGAGTCCTAAGCGATACTACTGCTAGCAGATTTCCTGTAGTGTTTTTGCCCCATTTGGAAGACCTTGAGTCCCAGGGGTTACTTGTCCATCATCTATCAGAAGGCTATTAGATTTCACCAAAAGTGCCTTAGTCTTTCTGAACATCAGTTTTATCATTTCAGATATCAGGGAATATATCTAAGGATTCTTGCTAGGAGGAGTGACTAAAATAGAAACACTTTTAGAAAGAGGACTGTCCTTGTAAAGGGCATTATGTAGATGTGTTGATTCCACAGGTGAGAGGAAAAGAGTATTGGAAAGTTCCTGTGTTACAAAGGTTCAGAGAGGAGCCTTCTGCACCTGCGATTCCAGAAGGAAGGGACTGGGAATGTCCAGCCCTGGAACAAGGATGTCCCTATGGGGAGAGAGCCCTGTCATACTTTCATCTGTCCATACTACGTCACAACACAATCAGTCGTAAATGAAGGGCATTTCTTAACACTAAATCCCATTGAGCTACTCGTTATATTAATAATACAACCAGAAAATGTCCAGTCTGCTTTAGAGGATGTTGCAGGGTCAGGATAGACATCCGCTACTGGACCTATTGGGAGGGGGTCATCATTTATCTCAGGGGGGGCTTTTGTGTTTTGGATTTTGGGGATATAGCGACCATCTAAAGAGTTTAGTCATTTTCCATTTAGTAAATTCTCTCTCCCATAGCTGGTATAAATATCTTCTTATCTGGAAAAGTAGACTTGCCTTATGGCAAATGTTGGTCTTTTTAATTTACAAATATGTTTATTTATTTTTGAAAATAAAACAACCCTTACAGATAATCTACTTGCACATTGACATAGAGTTTCAAGTCTAATAAGTCGTTTTTCCTTCCAGGGTCAGCATTTACAACATCTGATAACTTGTCTCTCAGCTCCTGGGTATCATCTTCATCCAGTTTTCCTGGATTTCAGCACCCACAGTCCCTGACTGCTCTTGGCACCAGCACAGCATCCCTGGCAACACCCATTCCCCACCCCATACAGGGTTCTTTGCCACCATACAGCCGGCTTGGGATGTCTTTGACCCCATCGGCCATCGCTAGCTCCATGCAGGGGAGTGGCCCCACATTCCCTTCTTTCCACATGCCTCGGTACCATCATTACTTTCAGCAGGGCCCCTATGCTGCCATCCAAGGACTGCGCCATTCCTCTACTGTGATGACGCCATTCGTATGACTCTTCTAAAGATAGGAGAACCCAGATCCAGGATGTGCAAATGGGTATGGAAGTGTAGGACAGGGTTGGGTGGGTGGGGTGTGGAGTGTTGGCGCAGGGGCTCTCCGGGCAATGTGGGACCTATTACAGAGGAGAGCTGGACTCAGTGAAACCTATTGCTGTGCGTGGCACCAGAGACCAGGAATCATTTGTAGTTGTGGGGTAGCTCTTAGGTTCAAGAGAGAATCGTTGTAGAGTCCCTAACCATCCTGAGTCCTGCAGCTTGATAGGATATTGACTTACACAGAAGGCTTACTAATGCAAAGCAGATGAATTTTAAGATGTATTATTCCTTAAAATATGCTGTGTCAATGCAGTCATGTATAACATCAACATGTATAGGTTTTCTTTCTGAGATCTATAGGTTAAAAGAATCTCCAAAGAGGCAATACTGTATAACACACTGACCATGATGCATATTAACTATCGTCCATTTCTCCTTGTAGAAAATGAGAGTTAATAGAGAAATATTTGTAATTCTATAGCTTAGGCATGTTTAATTTTCCTTTGTGTTATTTTTCTGGGAAAGGACCGAAATTATGCCAGTGCATCCTGTTTTGTGGGTGATGTCACAAATTCCTTTTGTGATATTGATGAGCCCAAACCTGGTGAACTCTTTCTCCTTTTTCGTGGTATTGTCTCCTTCCTTCCTAATTCTCTTTCTAGAAATTACTTGCCATATATGTAGGGGAAAATCTTACATAGGCATTTTTGAAGCAAGAATCTGTATGTATTACATTGTAAAGTTAAGATTTAATTTTTCTGGGCTGCACTATTGACTTATTCACCAAGGAACACTCTGAAGCTCTGCTGTTGAGTCATGAGACTTGCTGTCAGTTATAATTGCAATAAAAAGGTGATTGCCCTACAATGAAAGGAATTTTTCTGCCCCAGGTGCCAGAGGCCACTTGACTTTTACTTCAGACTGGAGAGGCCTTATGTACATTAAACTCTTGGGTCACATTTTCATTTTTTGTAAATCTGCTTTGTTAGATTGACAGGGACTTGTAAATGGCCCTTCTCCATTCCTGTCTGGCTGCCATTTAATGTATGCTCATGAGAAGTTATATGGCCGTACAGCTGATTTGTCCTTTTCTCCTTCTGTGTTAACTCAGTGACTCCTCTGATTTTTCTTGGTCCATGTGGCATGTTAACTCCATGACTCCCTGATTGAAACATGGACAGTGCTTATCAGTGAAACAAAAGCACCTATATATACATTTTATTTTTAACTCTTGATGGCTTCTCAAGCCTTTCTTTTATGTTTATAATAGTCTTATATTTTAGGTATGTTTAACCGCTGTGTTATTTTTGAGCAATATATATCTACACATTTATGGTCAGGGCAGTGTATTTGGCATTTTACAAGAGTTCGTTTTTCTAATGACAGACTTAGTCACATTTATAATCTTTCAATTATAGCTAGAATGCATTACAGATATAAGATGGAATCTGTCTTCTGGGTTCCCAGACTCCCTGAAGCTCTTCAACTTAATGTTTGTATGCAGTAGTCATTCTCTGCTAGGACTGCAGACATACTGCAGTTGAAAGAGATGGGAAATACTGCTGTTGAGGATAAAACACATTTGAGAGTAAAGGTAGACTCCAGTGGGATCTTAGTTTTAGTGTTAGGCTTTTTCATGTCAAGTGCCTTTCTTGGGCATCCCAGCCTAGGAAGGAAGGCACAAAGCCACAGCCTGGCTACGTAATGCCGTCATCAGATGCTGCACTTGCCTTTCTCCGCTGCATCCCAGGGTTTACTTAGGAGAAGCATGGACTCTCTTAAGCCAGCATCTCATAGTCTGTGACAGACACTGTAGGCTAGTTCCTAACTTCTTGCATGTTATCCTGTAGTATCCACAGTTTTCCAACAAAGCACAGATGTGCTTTTCTTTAAACAAGCGGTTATGAATAATATTTAAGGTAAATGTCCATGTAACTTAGGATAGCAATTACTATTCAATAGTTGACCTATTGTCAGAACTTCTTTTTAATACAGAACACCACTACTTAAAGCAGGTATAACAAAAGAAGATGCTATTTTGCAAGCTGCTGCTCATTATCCTGCTCAATTACTGGTCTGTTAAATGAATCCATTTCTAAATTTTCCTTTCAGAGCAAATGAAAGCATTATTTTGATATTATTTGGACTCTTTTTTTTTAATTGGTATGTCTCAAAATAGGTTTACGTGGTGTTAACTATGCTTTTATATCAGTATTTCCTGCCTTGATTTTATAAGTAAGTGTTGTAAAAGTAATTAGAGTGATTAGAGAAATGCAGACTAAGATATCAAAGCATGGTCTTGGAAAATCATGTCTAAAATTCTAAAATGAGATCTATTTTGTAAGTATTCAGTATCACTTGAACCAGGGAAAAGAAGCACAAATGAATGGTAACCCGATCAGAGTCAACTGTAGCCAAGGGAATCAGAAAACCAGAGTGGATATTTACATACATAGTCTTGCCCTTTCTTAGCTATTCTGGTTGATTCTTACTTAATGTCTTGGGTATTTAAGGTTTAAAAATCTAAAGTCTATCTACCAAGAACTAGATAATTAGCAGGAGTACCAATTGAGTAATAAAGAGCACGGATTATAGGATATTTGAAATAAATTCAGGGTCACCCCCAAAGTATGTTACAGTGCCAGAAAACATGACAGTTAGGAGGTACTGCAAAGACGACCTGCCAGGTAGCTTCATCTAACCTGAAAGAATTAATTCATAATTCATAGGTTATACATTTATGATTTGTTTTAAAAAATCAGTAATTCAAAGTTTAATTTTTTCTTGTATTTACTTACTAAATCCCAATAATCCACCCTGTCTACTTTCAGCAGTATAAAAGTAAACTTATCCAGCTAGTGTCTGAAACATATAACCAGGCCTAGATTAATGAATTTATATTGCATTCTGGTCCTTTTGAGTTTCTAACAATGACATATTGTCTGTAAGGCCTGCCAGCATTCCTGTCAGGTGGGCTTGGAAGGCTCCTGATAATGATTCCTCTCCTGAAAGCCTCTGTAGAGATACACTAGAGGAGTGATATTGACTTGTAGGGTGCTCAAGCCCACTTCTCCCTCACCCCACCCACATATCTGTCATTCTACTTTCTCCAACTGTAATATTCCCCCCCAAAGAAAAACAAAACCCCTCTAAATGCCCAAGAAGTAAGTATTCTTAGCAGAAAAGCATCCCCATTCTATACTGCTATGAATGTTTCAGAGATGTTGGATATTTACATTGTGAAATTTCACATTAGTTTTTCAGGTTGTCCTACTTATCTTTCAGCTGAATTATAAGAAAATGAACTTCAATAAAAAGAACAGAAACCTTACCATCCTACTCAATATACAGTCAAGCCATGCTTCAGTTTCTAAATTCATTTATGCAATATGCAGGGATACCTAGTATAAGAAAAATAATGTCTTTACTAAATCTTCCATTGGCCAAATAAGGAAAAGTTGACTAAATATGTATGAAATTCATAGTTATTACAAACAAAATAATATATGCTGAATTTAAATGCTACAGAAATAAAGTAGGAAAGATTTGCATCTGGGTCAATTAGAGAGCTGTACTTGAGTGGAAGTTTTATAAATTTTTGTTATTTCTGAATATAAGAGTTTTTATGTAAATAAGCAATGGGAAGGCTATAAACACTTAAAATGTTAGGAAACCATAAAGTCCTTTCTTCACTAGTATCTCATGGCAATTATAAAATGTTCTGTTATCTTTCTTCAGCATGATTAAGAATGCAAAGGTTCATTTATAAATATTTGCTAGGTTAATAATACATTTTTTCTGGTCCTTCCTTTTCTTTCTCTCCCTTTCTGATAATGAAAAAAGATAATAATGAACATTTCAATGAAATAATGCATCTGGACAAAAAATACATATTTTGTATTTTACTTCTGGTACATCATTATAATGCTTTATTTAGTTTTTTTCCCCCTTATTTTCAGAAACCTAAAGGAAGATCTTTACTTTCTAGAGGATAAAATTTGCTGGATATAGCCTCTTTAGTAGACTCTCACAGTTCTGTTGTTTGCTGTGTTCATTTGCTTAATGAATTGCGTGAGAACAGTCACTGTAATGAAGTGTGTGAGCTGGGAGTGGGGGGAAGGGCATGGGAAATGTTTTATGGAAAAAAAAGAAGTTATAAGCCTATACTATGAAGTAACATCTAATGAAGTTCTTTTTAAGTGCAATATATTTATTTCTGCTAGAAATGTATTATCAACATTATGTAATATTTGAAGCATTACATGTTATTTGTAAACAGCTTAAAATTATATATTACCCCAAATTGTACAGAAGTACTAATGTGTGGTGGATATTGATTTCTTTCATTAAAATTGGTGTGTTTTTGATATATATGCACACATTTACACCTTTCATTATCTTACATACTTTGCTTCATGCCTTTTGGTACCTGTTTCCTCACCTACACCCCAAGTCCCCCCAAAACGGAAGGTTAGTTAAAATCAGAGGCCACCTCCCAGGACAGAAACAATCACTGGATCCCTACACAGAATTTTGGTTTTGTCTTTGGTTACATTTGAAAGTCTTTAAAAGACGATAGTATATCCACATAGTGGAATATTATTCAGCACTAAAAAGAAAGGAGCTATCAAGCCATGAAAAGATAGGGAGGAATGTTAGCTGTTTACTACTGAGATAAGCATTCTAAAAGAGCTCCATCCCATATGATTCCAACCACATGACATTCTGGAAAAGGCACACTATGCAGATAGTAAAAAAAGATCTGTGATTTCTAGATTTGGGAAGACAGGAGGAATTTATAGGGCAGGAGGAATTTATAGGGCAGTAAATTTTGCATGATGCTAGTATGGTGTATACCTGGACTTTGTGTATTTGTTAAAATCTGTAGAGCACTACAACTCAAAGAGGAATGTGATCTATGGATGTTAGTTACTATTAGCTTATCATTATTAGTTTA